ATGGTGGGATCACAGCCCCACAGGCACATGCTACTGATACCACATATAGGTAAATTATGGGACTTTTTATTGCCATTCTAAAGATATGTTTTCATGTGAAGAAATGGAAAATATATTAAAAACACTGAATATTGTCTAGTATCTAAAAAGATTTCTTTTTTGTTATTAAGATTTCTCTTTTGTCACCAGTTAGGCATATAGTGTTCTGTGGAGTCTTCAGAAAGTTGAGTTGCCTTCTGGAAATCTCTCTTGACCCAAAGAAATGACTTGAAAAGATGGTGTACCTCCAGAGTACTTGCCAGCAGAATGAGGGGGATTTTAAAATGTTCCAGTCAAACCTTTACAGAGTTCCTGGAGCATGTTTACCTAAGGCGTGTGTGTTTGATGGAGCTGATAATCTAGTTGGCATCATAACAATGACATTCACAATCCAATTATATTGTAATCCAAGGTAAGGATACTAGCACCAGGGAGTTTGGGGGCTTTTGAGCAAAGGAGTGACATATTGATGACAGTATTTAAGAAAAATTAGTTTGTCAGGAGCAAGATTAGAAAAGGAACAGAGATTTACCCAGGAGTACGTGCGCTATCTGCCCAGGGAAGTTTCTTCCCAGAGTGNTAGGAATAAGGCAATGAGCTTAGGTCCACAAAGGTGACTGGGAACTTTGCAGAAAGCCGACGCTCATGGGAATCTTCACTAAACTGAGGTTTGCAAAGGATTATTACTTTTATTGAGCCATATTGAAAAGGTGGCTAAATGCCTAAAAAGAAATTAAGGTTCCCAACTGAATGGGCTCTAAGAAAGAAAGGATTTAATAGGTGGTGTGTCACTGGGAAACCAATCCTATTTATGGTGATCCTTGAGATTGTCCTGGGATGAATGGGTTTATTCTGTAGTCAAAAGGGTCACTGTTTAGGGTTTCGATTCCAGGAGGAGTCCCTTAAACCAGGTCAGGGGGATGGGGTTCTTGCAGGACATGGCCTTGGGGGAGACTTGGCTGTCCCATGAGGAACACAAGGGATATAGGCTCAGAGGTCTGTCTTGGTTAGATAATTCCAAGCAATGGGATCATTTCAGCCAGACCTGAGCTGTCAAAATTAGTGAGATCAGGCCAGCTGGATTCCTTAGCTTTGCTTTTTTATGATTTGGCCAAAACCTAGGAAATATAGAGTTTGCTTGGCATTAATCAACCACTTAGCTTTAAAAACAAAGAAGCAAACTTTATTTTTTTTTT